GAGATATTTACAAAAAACGATTTTTTGAGTTTCAGCAAAAAGGGGTGTTTTTGGCCAAAAGTCCATTATGACCTTTATATTAGATATCCGGAGTCCTGTCTTATTATATGTGATATAGAACTGAAAGATCGTGATCTTACACTAAGACAGATCAGTCTGTCTTTTTATGGTGTAAGACCGTAGGACCGCGGTCTTCTAGAACTGATAACTATCTTTACTCAAATAAGCTAAAGATCACACGAATCTAATTACTGGAAACCAAGATATTCTGCCTAAAAGCTCTGCTGAAATTAAAGCATAATGTCAGCCAAAATTGATCGCAAATTTATTGTGCCATCTGATACGATTTTTTACACCATTTTGACAACTTAAAAGGCCAGCAAATAAGCCACACCCTCGACCTCAAATATAGCAACCAAAAGGGTCATAGAGTGGAAAAACTAACCACACTCCTATACAATTGTTAAAAGGCTTCAGAATGGAAAAATTGCGACAGGTTATAGATTCGAAGGTGGGTGAGAGCTTGCTCCACCCACACCCAGACCGATGACCTCCATTTATCCACTCAACAAAATCCTAAAAATATCAACACAGTTAATACATTTTTTTTTATTATCTTTATTTTATTATTGCTTTACTAACATTGAAATTCCAAATTAAATTTCAGAATCATTGCTCACACTGTCTTGCAGAGTAACAAAATCGTAGGTCCTGGTAGAGTCATCTTGCAGTTGTCTCCCAGAAGGAGACCCTACTTCTACCATCTATATCATGGTAGCGCTCATTATCATGTCTTTACATTATTATGATATTATTTATTGAATTATTAGATAAAAGAATAATGTAAGTAATATAAAAGAAAGAAGACATCTAGAAAAATATTTTATTTTACCTTTTTTGTCTTATCAAATGGTCAGTAGCTGCACAGGTCCATTCTATAGGCATGATTAAAATTTGTTGAGAAATGATTATTTTTTTAAAAAAAAAGACGTATACTTCCCTTATAAATATTTTCTCTAGTTTGAAATTCTGTTTATTTTAGTTAACATTCAAAATAATATATGCAAGTAATATGTTTAAGATATCTGCAAAAATAAATTTCTTTTTTATTTAAAAATTAAAAATAATATATGCAGGTAATAAGATTAAGATGCCCTTGCAATATATTTATATCAGACAATTACAAATAATAAGTTATTATCTAAATATCGAACGAATTCAATCGTGTCAAATATGAGTTCAACTCGAGTTCAATTTGAGTTCACACTAAGGTTGCTTGCCAAAACTAGGAGGTTTCAGCGGGATGGCGTATGTGAAACTGCTAAAACTAGTTTCGCAAAATTGGTCTAAAATATTGAAATGCCATAACTGCTGAAACCTGCCAAAACTGTCTAAGCTGCCGTAACTATTTTGGCATAGTACATCATATGATATACATATATTAGTTTCGGCAACATTATGAATTATGATTAATTTCGGCATGGATTTTTTTTTTGACGCAATGCCGTATTCAGCCATATTGAATTTATATAGACGTAATTGCCAAAATTTGCCAAATTTATCGAATTCTCAATGATTTACGCCAATTCGGCACAGGAAAGTTAAATTATCAGACAGATTGCATAGTACAAATCATCTGATGATCTCTTTTTTCTTGTATTGAGGTTTTCGGACAAAAATTATGAGGTAAAGAACTAAGGAGGGTCCGGACAGGAAGTTTTTATTTAAAAAATGTAATAGTTTATTTTTCGTTTTGTAGGATTGCCAGACAAAAAGCACGACCAGACTTTTTGAAGTAAGAAAGGACCGGAAAAGGGTCCATTTTAATAAATTTATTTATTTTTTCTTTATTGTAAGGTTGCCAGACGAAAAATATGACCGGACTTTGGAAATGAGGTAAGAAAGGGTTGAGGGAAAGGGTTTCGTTGTTTTTTATTTTAATAAATTTAACTAATTTATTTTTTTCTTTTTTGTAGTGTTGCCGGACGAAAAATATGACCGGACTTTAGAATTTAGGTAAAAGAGGGGCTAAAGAAAGGTTTTTCGTTGTTTTTTTATTTAATAAATTTAACTTATTTATTTTTTTCTTTTTTGTAGTGTTTCTGGATGAAAAACATGACCGGACTTTGGGATTTAGGTAAAGGAGAGGGCTGAGGAAGGTTTTTCGTTGTTTTTTTATTTAATAAATTTCTTGTTTATTTTTCTTTTTGTAGTTAAGGTTGCTTGCCGAAACCTAGGGGTTTAGGCAAGATGGCGTTTCGCCGAAAAGCGAAATTCTGCCAAAACTATATTAAAGTTATATTAAAAAACTGGCGAAACTTTGGAGAAAAGCGAAACTGCCGAAACTTATTATAAATGCCGAAACTGCCAAAACTCTGCCAAAACTATAATAAATCTATAGTAAAATTTTGACGAAACTAATCGTAGGATTTTGAAAAGGTTTAGACAAGCAACCTTATTTGTAGTATTGCTGGACGAAAAACATGTACAGATTTATAAATTAAGGTAAAGGAGGACCAGTGAAAGTTTTTCGTTAATTTTTTCATAATTTATGAAAAACATGACCAGACTCTTAAAATTAAGGTGAGGGAGGGTCAGAGAAGGTGTTTTCATCATTTTTTTTTAATAAATTTAATTGATTTTTTTTTCTTTTTGTAGGATTGTCAGATGAAAAAATATAACCAGACTTTTGTAATCAAGGTAAAGTACNTGTCTTGCAGAGCAATGAAATCGTAGGTCCTGGTAGAGTCATCTTGCGGTTGTTTCCCAGAAGGAAACCCTACTTCTACCATCCATATCATGGTAGCACTCATTACCACGTTTTTACATTATTGTTATTTATTGAATTATTAGATAAAAGAATAATGTAAGTAACATAAAAGAAAGAAGACATCTAGAAAGATATTTTATTTTACCTTCTTTGTCTTATCAAATGGTCAGTAGCCGCACGGGTCCATTCTATAGGCATGATTAAAATTTGTTGAGAAATGATTATTTTTTTTAAAAAAAAGACGTATACTTCCCTTATAAATATTTTCTCTAGTTTGAAATTCTGTTTATTTTACTTAACATTCAAAATAATATATGCAAGTAATATATTTAAGATATCTGCAAAAATAAATTTCTTTTTTATTTAAAAATTAAAAATAATATATGCAGGCAATAAGATTAAGATGCCCTTGCAATATATTTATATCAGACAATTACAAATAATAAGTTATTATCTAAAATATCAAACGAATTCAATCACGTCAAATATGAGTTCAACTCAAGTTCAATTTGAGTTCACACGAACTAACTTATTTCACTAGATATTATGAATTTATTATACTATTTTTTATTTACAATTTTAATCGTTTAGTTTATTTTTTCTAATTGTAAAATTAAATCATATTTAATCAAGTCAAATCTAACAAAAATTAACAATTTCATCAACGCAAATTCAAACTCAAATTCAACTCGAGTTTGACGAGTTTCAAAACGATTAAATTCGCTAGATATAATAATCTAACTACATTTATACATGCCAATTATATTAATATTATAATATTAACTACCCTTACTTATGTTTAATTGTGAAGCATAAATAATACCGATATCATTAAATTTTGATTTTTTCTTTGACCATGCGAGTTGATATGTCATACAGTGTCAGAATAATATAGCAATTATGGCTGTAAAAGGCTGTACTTAATCGTAAAAGAAAGTTTAACATTATTGTTTCATCATTCATTTTTTTAAACAGAAATTCATAACATTTATTTTTATCTTATAATAGTCATTTTATATTTTGACAATAGATAATAAATTCTATTGTTATATAACATTCTTCAAAAATGAGACATTAGATCAAAAAATAGGAGATGGAGCACGATATAAATATGAGAACTCGGTTATTAGAATTTAGAATTGATTACAGTATAAAATTGGAATACATACATTATGTACTGTGTGAATGTGTGATCTCGCGAGATGAGAATGTCCAGTTTCAAAATTAATATAAAGAACTTTAATTCAGTAAACATATTTATTTTACTTTTTTTTCGCTTATTTTTCTTAATCAAATTTTTCTATATTTTTTTTCACTAATATTTTATATTATGTCTAAACGTAAAGCAGTTTATAATAATCAAGTAGAAGTTGAAACAGGTATATATATAACTTTTTGTAAATATAATTATATTTTTTGCTTATATGTAAGGAAAATAAATAGTAAAATACCAAAAATATGTATGATAGGAACGAAAAAAAATCCAAGGACTTTACCGAAAAAGAGGAGAAAAATAAATATTGAAGAAACCAATCAATTATTATTAGGTAAATATTAATTATATAGGCTTTAGCTCTTTGATATTATTCTATTAATTTTAATTGAAATAATTGAAATGATATATTATATAGAAAAAGAAGTAATAGTAGAAGATGATGTAAAGAATAAAAGTGAAAAAGAAGATGAAGAAGATAAAGAAGAAGAAGATGATTATAATGATAATGACAAGTTAGGCGTGGCTAAAACAGTTCTGGATCTGTTTCAGTTTTGTACAAAATTAGATATATGTAACTGGCTTCTAAAAAATCCAGATATTTTACGATTAGCAAATGAGATGAATGAATCATCTTATGTCATTAGTTCAAAGAATACTGAAGTTAGTATTAATATAATATGGTAATATTTATTATGTTTAAATCTTTAAATAATGTATCTCATAATATTTTAGGATAAAATACGACTCTAGGATGAGTCGGTAAAGTGCTTATTTTTACGAACGAGGAATCTGAGTAGTGAAGCACTCGATGATTTGGTTGTAAAAATTTTTCAGTTTAAAATTTATACTAGTGAAGCTAGAAGCCATTTAGAAAAAAACTCGTAAGTCTTTAATTGACTTTTGAAATAAATTCAACCAAAATATTCTAAATTTAGTGGAAAAATACAAAAAAATAAGAAAGAGCAGGTATTTATTTATTTTATTGTTTTATAGTCAACAAAATAGTGCTATTTGTATAATTATTAATTAATTAATTATAGGGGTACAACTGGAAATCTTTCACAAAAAGAAATTAAAGAATACGTTGATGAAAACGTGATGCAAAAACTTTTAAACCGTCAACTCACAGCTGTCAATATTTTGGAATTAACAAATAATGGAGGAACTGATACGTTAGTTGAGTTTGTTAAGGAAGCCGTCCACGTTTCTTGGGACGGTAAAAACTTATCTGGTATAAAGGAGTTGGATACCATGACTAAAAATTTAATTATCCCTTCCCGAAGTGGAAGTGATATAGTAAATACCCTAAAACAAGTAAGTTATTTTATTTATTTTGCACATTATGCTTTTGATAATAATATATTAATAAAATTAAATTATAGATTTAGGTGCGTTCTTATAAAATTATATGATGAAGAAGAATCATTAATAAATGATTTTATAAAATTTTAATAAAAAAATAAAATTGAGTTTTATTGAGTATTTCTTCTTAGTTTATTTAATTATTATTCTTTTAATGGTATAGACTTTAATAATAATTAGCTTCAATCGAAAAATTACATAAAGTTTTAAAAGTTTTGAATATCTGTTGAGATTCAATCATATTTGAATTTCTTTAACTTGTTGTGTTATTACCATTAAGTAATCAATTATCTGTATAAACTGTGTAAAGTTAATTTGGCTCTATTTTGAGTAATATCCACCTATAAAGAACTCATCCATGTATTACCTAAACAATTATTGGTTGATCAAGTTCGTATAATACCAAATTTATAAAATTGTCTGATTAAATGATCGCGTAATTAAATGATCGCGTATATTAAATGATCACGTATAAGACCTAT